CCATGCACCAATGAAATCAGCATCAACTACAGTGAGCCACACTTTTGGCCTCCTCTTGTCTTGTAGATGAACGCACATTATTTTATCTTTCTATGCACAAATTTTGTGTAGTGAAATCTGCTCAAATTAGCATTAATATATGATTCCATCATAGGAGAGCTGGTGGCAGTAGAATTAATAGGAGGTAACGTGGTACACACATGTTGCACAGAGGGTGGTAGGTGGAGGGGCCCAACAGCAAATATCTGCCGTGGGACCTCATTACAGGTTAATCCAGCCATGTAATAAGTTAATAATAAATGTGAATAATAATGTTATCTACGGGTTTACGTATATGGTATTACAGTTGTACATGAATGAAGGGTTTCCTCCAAACATCCAAGTCTGTAATCGTAAATTTGTTGAGAAATTCTGCTATCGACCACATATAGTCGATCTCTGAGGTCAGGGGTCAAATGCTCCAAAAAAATGTGGCTTGTTAAGGATGGTTTCCATTTTTATACGAGTCATATTTGTCGTTGTCGGTAAAATTTTCTTTTGAAGTAAGCAATGACAGCAAAGAATTTGAGTGTTCTACTTCCATTAGTAGAATGTATGTGATTAATGATGCGTGTCAAATTCACCAGGAACAAATTGTAACTTCCAGTGATGAAGCTGTGAGCCAGCGCACCCTTGAGCCAGTTCAAGGCAAGTAAGTGGTGTGGGGATGTGGTTGAAGGCACATTATGTGGTTCACCTTGTTGCAACAAAGCAGCAGTGCGTAATTACAACAGGTGGTTGAAGAGTTTTTCTTCCAAAAAAACCACTGAGGTTTGGGCGATGAGCGACACCGCTACCAGATGACACTGAGAACCACAACATCCCACATTTTCTTTCCATCCAAACACACACTCACATACACACACACACAGTCTCATATTCTGCCCGTCTTCCTCTCTGGCTCTGTGTTTTCTCTTCCTCCATGGTGTCTACCTTTCCATTGGCTCTGCCTTATGCAAGAGTGTGTATTTTTATGTCTCACATTAGCTTGGGGGAATAATACCTCGCACTGAATGGTAGTCTGCTCTGGGGCCTTTTCAGACATTCAGTCACTTCTTTTCTAAGAATAACCATTGAGCATATTTGCCAAAAAGGTTCCTCTCTCACCAATATTTTGTTTTGTTTTTCACGGCGTCCTGCGATTACTGTTTTCGTACGTCACTCCGATACCAAAGCTTTTGTATGAGCAAACTGTGAGCCAAATGAGAAAAGCAGCATTGGGAGTCCAAGAGAAAAGGCACAGAGTGGGGATCTGGGGCAAAACTTGGAACTGTGTCAACTCTTCTCAAACTCATTAGGAGGCCAGAAACGCTGGTCACTAGAGAATCTCAGGGGTGAGGCAGCAGACAGTTAGGTATGTGAAAAACTAGAATAAAAAATGATAGCTTTTGATCGTGTTTCAGAAGGAACCTTTCATGTACAGTCTGGAGAATTTTAGTCCAACCTGTCTGACAGGTCACCTTAACCAAATGCCATTTGGGTTTGCAGAGATGAAATTGTTTCTCAATTGTAAGTGGCTGCTGTGGACTGTAATGAAGTCAAAGAGATGTATCGACTCTGTAGTACTAAAACAAATGTTCTCTGTCACGTTTTCTACATCGGTAAATGACTGCAGGGCAAGTACGGCATGTGAGATGATGTTGTATGCAAGGGAACAGTTCAAAATTTAGTGAGACTATAGTGGAGATTCCATTGTAAACCTTTCTGATTAGAAAGGGCTTGTAGCTTGTCCTGTGCTGCGGAGCTACTTCAGAGTTATACCTTGTCATTACATCAAACAGTTCTACAATATACTGTCACTTTTTTATTGCTTGTGTGCTGGACGATGTGTGCAGAGCTTTTTATAAACAGACGTGGTGCAAAGTGAAGAGAGAAAACCAGTTTTATCTGCAATGAAAATTACATTGCATGTTGAATCTCTTAACCAATCGACATAATGTTCTGACCCAAGTCCACAACTTTTCAAATGAAAAGTTCTGCAATTCTGCTCAGTATAAAGCGTTACAGAAACAAAACAAATATTGTGCTTGTAGTATGTGTTTTTTGACTTTTTTTGTTGTTGCCATGACAAAGATCGGTACCCAGTACACCCCTGAATGTCTGTGTCTGTCTGATATTGTGAAATAAAGATAATCAAATGATGTATTTTAAAACGTATTTTTAACTAATTTGTCAAAATCATATCAAACTCGGCACTGCACTCTCTCTGCAATTTACAATAGAAATGCCAAAGGTGAAGCCGATTAGATCAATGCGTTCCATATACAGATAGATAGAGACATTTGTGGAATTAGTAGGTAGATACACTGATTGGCTTTGCTGCCAAGAGTTAGGTGAGAGTATAGCTTGTCAACAGCTGGTTGGCTTAGTTTAGCATAAAGACAAGGGAAACAAGGGAAAAACACTATTATTATAACGTCTATTATTCTCCTATTTTGTAAAATATGCCCAAGAGCACCTTATATGTTCAATAATCATTATTGCATATCAAACCAAAACTTTAAATGTACATGTTGTGGGGAATACCAGTAGCTCACCTGGTTTAGTGCATATCATTTATCAAAGCTGAAGCATTACTGCTGCGATCTGGGTTCAAATCTGGTCCAGGCCTGTCTGCTGCTTGTCATCCCCTCCCTCTCTTCCCTCCTGATCTACACTGTAGCTGTCAAAAATGAAAAGAGCCAGAAAAAGACATGTTGTGCTTTTACCGAGGGTCATGTGTGGGATTATTAATCGGCTGTTTTCAGTGATTTCCTACAGTCAAGACACCCACATGATGTTGCCAGGCAACCAGCATAGATTTACACATACGCCAATGATCTCAATCTCCTCATCTAACCCTCATCTAAGCCCTTTTTTCCAAAACCGCCACACTATTCCTAAAATAAAGGCAGGAAATAAAGGTCAGGTAAGGTACAAGGGGATTTTGGGTATTAGTATAATGGCACCTTTTCAACGAAATCAATACAGTTCTTTGATCAGGAACATCTCTCTTATCTCACTTTTATTAAAACTATTCACTCTCTTCACATTGACTGTCATGCAAATAATATATAATAATAATTATGATTTTGTAGAATTATCAAGCCATGCACTTACAGACCATTTTTGTGCTGTTTCGCCTTAAAAATAAGAGCAAAAACTGTTTCATATGTTTGCTTTCGTTCATCATCATCAACATCAGTCACTGAAATAGTCATAACTTCTTTACAAGTTGTTTGAATTCTTCTGAAATTCATCCCCCTACTGTCAACATACTGTAGGCAGCTTGCCTAACAATAAAAACACATGACCTCTGACATGTCTGGTCTTGGCTGACCTGACCCCAAGGCCACGACAAGGACACAAGCTGGCAAGTACGTTAGGGAGAAAAAAAACACCATCTTGCAATAAAACAGTGTTGTGCTTACCAAAATAAGAGACGGTTTGCAGAGGGAATGTCAGCAGATGAACATCTAAGTGAACACGTTTGTTTCATTCGTCTGCATCATGTGGTTTTAATCAAGCAGTGATACAAGTTGGCAGTTAAGATTTCTGTCAAACTCCTGAACTGACATGAGTCACAGGATCTTCATTCATCCAATTCTGAGCTGACAGGACAAAAATAAACATTTCTGCTCACTAATGTGTGAATTGAACTCCCAAACCTAAAAGAGGGTTTGAAATGTGAGCTATGTTCAGTAGATCATCAAATCAGGTTTAAATATACAGAGACCGACTATAACTCCATGTTTCCTCTGCTTCTTAATCAAATTGTATTTAGATTACTGGTAGGTGAACTAATTAGTAGGTTAAACAAGGACTTTTTATGAGTCATTGTGTTGTCTTCATAAAAAAAAGAGAAAAAAACCCACTCATAAGCTTTAATTATCATCCATGTGGATTTCATATCAGCATGTGATCGGTGCTTCACAGGGGTCAAAATATGAAAGAACAAAGTGCTGAATTGTTCCAGGTGGCAAAATCACTTGTTGCCGTGTCCCACTGGAACTAATAAGGCAGGTCCATTTTCACCCCCTAAATCCCCTGCATTGGCTAAAATGACTGATTTACAGCTAAGACATTAAAACATGGACCAAACTCACATTATGCACATGCACACACATATACACACACGCACACACCACAAAGCTTTCTGATACTGTTCACACAGAGAACATGGGCCTGCGTCTCTGTGGCCTCACAGGTAAAAGACTCCAAGGCCAATAATTGGTTTTGGCTCGTTGGGACGATAATCAGATTTGAGGTTTGGAGTCAGTAAACCTACACTGTAGATTGGAGTTTCTATTCTGATTTAAAGTGCAGGTATCAAGGCATTGGTGACGTCTATAAGGAGTTTCACTTGTGGTGTCAGGGGGACAGAGGAGATTTAGACGGCAGAGCCCGATTCTTTTTTTTTCTTGTGTGTTCAGTTTTAGCCAATTCAATCAAAATGCAATTTCTCAACGTGTGAAAGACACTTTTAATGCTCATTTCATTGATGAACAGTGAAATTATACTTTCTTTTAATGTTGTTCTTTTATGGGGGAGAGTAGCAACTGGTTCACCTTTCCATTAATATCTCCTCACTCATTAAAGATACTGAAACAAAATTTTATTCGAAAAATCTATTGCAAACCTATTACAAAGTTACAAAACCAAACAGAAAAACACAGGTGAGAAATGTATAATGTTAGCTATGAGCATGTGTAGATGATTTTCATTTCAGGTTATGAAAAGTAAAAGTAATTGCTACTTCAAAATCTTTATTCATACAACCACCCACCTTCCTCCCTATCAGACAAAAGTGTGTAACAAGTCATGTTCCCTTGAAGGAAACCCTGCCGCTGTGTTGTTGCAAAGAATAATTACAATATAATCGCATGATGTAGTGTACGAATCCATGCTGTGAAAGTAGTGCACCAGGCCCAGGACACACTTTTCAAAAATTCAGACCCAGAGAAGTTTGGAAGAGTGCTTGTGAGCGGGAGAGCATTTGTATCCAAGGCAAAGGGCTTTGGATGTTATGTGAAAACCATTTTGTGTCATGTGTTCACATGGAATACATATTACTTACATATGTAGGATGAAAAAGTACATCAAGGTCCGTCCCGGGAGACCACCAAACAATCTCTAACCTGCAGTCAGGGAATAAGTTAATGTAACTGTAGATTTGCTTAAGTACATGCCAGGGAGTTTTTCCATGTGGATGTCTGTGGTTATAGAAAAAAACAAGTGCACTGAGATTTTACGTGTATGAAGATACTGTAATATAACCTAATGGCATGTGATGAATAGGATGAATGTGTTTGATTGTGATTAAATGTTTGGTAAAAGTTTTGTAACATTTTCGAACACATTCGATTTTTTTCTATGAGCAAGGAATTAACCTGATAATTTTACAGATTAACTCTTCTTTCCTTCTATACGTTGTTAAATTATATACAGTCAAATGATGAATGCTGTGTTTATGGGTTTGCAAGCAAATAGGTGAAGGCACAATGTTTAAACAAGTATTCAGTTTCAAATTGGCTCCAGCCAGGACGCTCCGCCTGCTCTCGCCGAGGATATTGACTTTCCCGCAAGTTAAAGTATTTAAATGTGGAGGGAGACAGATGCTGTATGTGGACTGGTGGCGACCACAAGAAACACACGTGTGGGCAGAAGGTTGATGTTGGGAGTTTTACTATCTGCGCATCTTATAGAGAGACATCAGCTGTGCCACCACTGCTTTAACTGCACAGAAAACAAATCAGTCCGCGCTGTCACTCATGGAGTCCATTCAACTTTTTCTTTTTTTAATTTTAATCACTTATTTTTAGGGAATCCCCAGTGCGCATTTTACCGCTGATGCGTAAAGACCCGTGCGTAAAAATAAAAAAACAGCCGCTCTGCTGCGTCAGAGAAAGTCAGAGATGGTTTATTTCTCTAATCAAGACTTTCATTTTCAGTGAGTGATTGACACGAAGGGATTTAGCGGAGCTGGTGACAACGACACTTTCTCCGGACTCTCGGTGAGGATTGGCACCGCAGCGCCTTTTAAATCTCCAGGACCAGCAAAGTGGAGAGTGGACCCTTTTTTCACCCGCATGGGACCCTGTCAGTTTCGGATCTCTTAATTGTCACGGCTATCGCCTTCTATGTGTAACAAGAGGGACATCAATCTGGGCTGAAATCCCCATCAGGAGGAACTGTATTTCCGAGAGCTTCTAGCAGCGAATCAGTGGAGTATTCATGAAGCAATATTTGAACTATTACAAGATGAGGCTGAGAACATCGAGGTTAGGTTATCTGTAAGTAAAGAGGTGTCACTGTAATATAGTTGGTTATATGTAACTCAATGGATTCCAGAAACAGGTTATTAATTTTCCCCATTTTCTCTCCTCTATAGGTTACTTCAGTTCACGGCGCTTTGCTTTTACGCACAGGTAACTCACATTCTCACCTCAATAAAAACACAGCACTAATGTTGCGTAAAGTTCTGCAGTTAACAAAGTAAAAGTTCACAGATATTCAGGCGCCTTGCATGGAAGTGAGCACTCCACCGTCTCTACATCTGCGACAGGCTGCAATAACAATGAAAACATTTTATTATGAGCGCTATGGCAATTGGCAACAATTCAAACATCTTGAAAAGAGGTAAGCTCCAGCCTAAAAAAAGTAATTGTTAAAACACATGTGGATGGAGAGACGCTGAAATGAGAAAAAAAAGAGAAATCAAGAAAGGGCGAAAGATCATCGGTGTTGAGTGCTGTGATAAATGAACCGGCTGGGTGAATTAACAAATAAACCAAATCAAAGGAAAATCAAAGACATTGTGGTCAGAATCCACAATGCCCTTTAAAAGATGGTGGGAAAAAAGAAGCGGGCTGAATTGTTTAAATATGATGAATGACTTAATGAACTGTGGGACAGCGGGGCCCTGGCTCTTTGACTGGCAAGCTTTAGTCTCCTCACGGTTAATATTCAGATTTCCGCAGTGCAATTCCTAGCGACCACTCCTGACATGTGTTTCCCATATCGTCCGACAGAGCTCTGTGCAGTCACCCCCTAATTTCAAGCACCATGTCACCGAGCAGAGCCGCCTGTCGGACCGCATGAGCCGCCGGCTGACCCGCACCTACCAGCTGTACAGCCGCACCAGCGGGAAACACGTCCAGGTCCTGGCCAACAAGAGGGTCAACGCCAACGGGGACGACGGAGCGGTGCACGGTAAGATGGAGGATCCATTACATTCAGAAAACAGCCACATGCCAATTAAATGTGAGAGACGTCAAATATCGCGAGAAACTTTTTCTTCTAAAAGTATCCATGGTTAATCATCCCAGCAGGAGGTGTCTTTATTTACACAATTTAAATATGATTATCCAGTTTAATGAGCATGTGTCAATAAAACACCACATGAAGCTGCAGGAGGCAGGAAGTAAAACGTACAATAAATGTAAAAACATTTTTAAGCTAGGTTACCTTTTAACAAGTACCCCAGTGTATTCATGCAGTTCATGTATTTAAGTACATATTTAAATATAGGCTATAAATCAAAATAGACTGAGTATGTTGTGGAATCGTACATATCAAGTAAATCACTTTTACAGCAGCGACCGGAAGTTAAACACGCAAAATATTGTGAGAATCAATGTATTGGAATTAACTTTTTTATTTATTTTTATTTTATTAAGCGAGGCTACTTGTGAAAAGTAGCCTAGTTTAAGCCTCCCTGCATATTCATTACCAAAATAGAATGAGCATGTAGCTAAATAAAGGTCTACATAGGTGAATTAAAACACTATGAGAAGCGACAAGAAGCAAAATCCGCAAAATATCACTAGAATGTATGTGACTTTTTAACATTTTAAAGCCAGGCTCCTTTTGGCCTAGCATAACATTCCCTGCAGGTGGCAAATGTTATTACACAATTCACATATAAAAATCAAATACAATAACAAAATGTGGTTGAATTAAGGTCCACTTATGTCAATCCAAAATGTTACCTAAAAAATTATGAAAACACGCAAAATATTGTGAGAATGACTTGTAATAAAAACAACAACAACATTGTAAAGCGTGGCTAATTGTTAAAAAGTAGCAGCTACATGCTCATTTTTATATTTAAATATCAAATAGAGTTATGAGTAGTATATAGAGTATGTTGCTGAATAAAGGTCAGCGTAATCTAATCTTTAATGTCAGTTAAAACACAACGAGAGACAGTGGGACACAGGAAGTGACACAGTTAAAATATCGTGAGAATATGTCGTCTTATTAACTTTTTGAGCATGGCTACTTTTTTACGCAGGTGGAGTATTCAATTACGTCATTTAAATATAAATATCAAATAATTGCGCATGTTGCTGAATAAATTTCCACATATGTGAATTCATTCAGGAAACAAATTTTTTTTTATCATCTCTCAAACAACGAAGCAACTTTACCTCTTGAAGCCCCCTGTGGGCCGTGTCCAGGTCCATGAAAACGTGATGACAGCTAAAGGCCGTCGTGTCTTACATTTCAATGCTTTTAAACCTCAGGAAAACAGTAAAAAAATACTAAAGATGTTCACCTTACAAACACAGGAATAGTTTAAACTCAATGGTGCACGGTGCGGTGTTGAAAAGCAATATAAATTATGTCGTTTTTCTGGCAGCCTGTAGGAAAATAGTTGGAGCCAGGAGAAACAGAGGTGGAAACTGTAAACAGAGTTAGTGGCATCAGTGTTGCCATCTTTTATGGTCTTATGAAGGTAATTTATTTCTTTCGTGTGTTGGTGGTCCAGAAAGTCATTGACACCTGTTAGGATGGACTTTTCTTTACTTCTCACAGGAAAATTGTCTTAAACTTAGAGGGAGCAGAATTCCTGTCACCAAAGGATTTTTGGTGCGTCTCGCCATCTTTCCACCGCAGCCACCATCCATCCATCCACTCCTCTGTGCCTGCTGCCCGCCTGCTTTTTTGAAGGGGGTTTTTATGAGGAATTTTCATTGCTTTACAACTCAATGTATGACTCAATTTATAAGGAGCTGCGGTGAAGTCAGCATCTTCACTTTATACCTTTTCCTCTCCTGTGTGCTCTTTTGTCTTTTAAATTTCCCTGCCTACGCACACTCACACACACTCATACACACAGAGTCAATCATGCACACACTGGCTGCACATCCTAAGTGGGTGTCACTCTTGTAACTGGCCCAAATCTGACCGCTGCTCTGTGCTTGTGGCTGTGTCCCCGACCACAGTATTCTCACTCTCCTTTATCCCCAGTCTGAAATGTAGCGCAGCACAGCATTTACCGACATCCAACAACAATCACGCCGTGAGAAAATCACTATCATTTAGTGCTATTTTGGAAGGCTTGCATGCTTTGTTAAAAGGTGGCTGCCGGTTCATGAAGTCTAAAAGTTTTTGTCTGGATTCTGGTTCCCTGGTCATGATCTTGTCAAAACGATTTCATGCCGTTTAATGATGACTTGATGTAAATCAAGTTCACTGCAGCTTCGACTGCACATGAATAATACATTCAGAGGAAAAGTCTCACACACACTGCAACATGATAATCTGAATGCCTGCACCATGTCACAACTGTGTCATCTTATTATTTCTGATCTCTTTTGTCCATGCAGCTAAACTGGAGGTGGAGACGGACTCTTTTGGAAGTCGTGTTCGTATAAGAGGGGTGAAGACAGGATATTACATATGCATGAACAAGCGGGGGAAGCTGATTGGCAAGGTAATCTGGAATTCATATTTTACAATTTTCTGTTTCTTGGAAATGTTATTGAGCAGGTTTTAAAGGGCTTTTGATTGTCTGGAAATAAAGACTAACGTCTCTGCTTCCTGGAAATTGTCTGAATTATCTATATTGTCTCACTATCGCCCCTCTTTTGCCTTTGCAGCGGAAAGGACGAGGCAAAGACTGCATCTTCACTGAGATTGTTCTGGAAAACAACTACACGGCCCTCCAGAACGCCAAGTATGAGGGCTGGTATATGGCTTTCACACGCAAGGGCCGCCCAAGGAAGGCCTCCAAGACCAAGCAGCATCAGAGGGAGGCCCACTTCATGAAGCGTCTACCCAGGGGGCATTTGCTGAGTGAGAGGAGGCCGTTTGATGTCCTTCCTCTCCCTGTCCCCGTGCACCCTTTGAGCAGGCGGACTAAACATTCCCATCAACAGCGCTCAGGGGGCCGTTGAGGACTGAAACCACTGAGGGAGAACTGTGGATGAACCAGCACGAGAACCACTAAAAGAAAAAAACAAGTGATCCCAGCAAAATCAACTTTTACAGTCAAGTGCCCATACACTTTTTGCCTCATTTTGTGGACTTATTATGTAATACTTTGTACTGGATTGTGTGTAAACAATCTAATATCTAATCTGCTAGTTATTTCCAATTCAGTCAGACTTTAGGAAAGTTTTTTTCTCTTATTAAATCAGGGGGCATTTAAAGGACTGAAGAGCTCAACTACATTGACATGAATGAAAACCTTTGGTTAGAAGTTCACCAGCTCAGCAACAAAGAATGTTTGAAAAGAGAAATGAGTACAATGCAGCTAGACACGGCAGCTATCTGTGGATTTTCTTGTGGTCACAGCATCTGAGTCTCAGTTGACATGCTATCTTGCCTTTAGGAGGAGTTTGGAGAATTTTAACCTGTTTTTTTTCTACACATATAAATATATTTTTACTGTAAAAATGTAAATTGCGTCAAATGATGGAAATATTTATTGTAGAGTGTATATTAAAACCACTAAAGAATCAGTTCACATGCTGCGTGGCTTTTCTCTTGTGTAGTTGTTTTTGGATGGAGCATACAATGCTGGTTGCCCTAAAAAAAGAACAAAAAAGACCTGTTGCCTTTTTTCTCCTCCTCCTCCTTCTTCTTCTTCTTCTTCCTCTTCTTCTTCAAGCTGGAGACCCAGATAACTGAGGGGCAATATCTGTGACAGGCTACTGAATTCAGTGTGCTCAGCAAGTGAGACTTGGGCCTGAATGGCCCGAGCTATGCATTAAAAGCGATGAGGTCAGCCCACCATTTTGGCCCAAACAAAGGTTACCACCATGTAGTTGCATTTCTCACGATCGCACACCGTAACTCTCTGATCAAATGGGCCCTTTGTGTAACCTCATATAAAAGGGCATGTTATACAATAGTGGGTTCGAATAATAACACGAGGAGGGGTCAGTTATCAAAAAGAAGCCAGTCACACAGGGAGGGGTGGGTGGTGGGGGTTGCGTAGAGGGGCTGCAGAAAAAGCACCAGGGCCTGTGTGGCAAAATGTGGCATCGGCTGAAAGAGGGGGAATGGCTGGGAAGAGGCATTCGCGAATGAAAGGGAGGCAGAAAAGAAACCCTCTTCCCAGAGGCAGTTGAGCATGACCATCAGAGGCCAAACGACAGGGGAGGAAGAAGACCCTGAACAGAGGAATTTGGCTGCTCTCACAATGCAAGAGCTGGACAACCAATTTGTTAGTTGGTGTTTGCTGCCACAGGAATTTGTTTTGACAGCGGCTCGAGTGCTAAAGACTGCAAAGCATTACAGAAAATTAGCAAAATTAAGACCTCAAAATTATTGCTCAGTATTCGATGTATTTACTTAACATGAACTTTGTTTTTTATATTTTATATTTATTTAGAATCAACACCAAGCAGCCTTATAAAAACAAGTAGAAAAACACTTCCTAAACAAGTATGTGTCAGTGCCTTTTTTTCAGGTCAATTCCTTCAAGTCTCTCTCAAGAATTTGCAAAACAACAGGACAGGCTGCGTTTGAAATGTTTTCTTGTGTTCCTGTTCTTTCCATCTGGAATAAGACAAAGCACAATGGTGAGAGAGACCTGTGGTTTTGTCTCTGCTTCTTGCACTTGCTCTCTGGGTTTGGTGTAAAAAATGCTAGGAATCACAAGGTTGAAACGATCTATATTTAAATACCATTGTCTCTTTTTTTATCCACTGTCTAAGTATTTCAGACAGTAGTTTTTAAAATGAACTTATCAAACATCACATTGAAGCAAGGAGCTATATTATTTCTCTCTGTACATGTAATTTATTCTCTCTGAATTTCATATAACAAACATGTCAGCCTCTGACTTTATATTCCTCAACATTAGGCCCATTTGTAAAACAACTCTGAAACAGTTGCACTGGAGTTTTAGCTGCAGACCACTGCGTCAGAGTGACCCTTTGCTCTAATGGGAAATGGTAACACTAGTTTCAGTAATGGCTTTCAGGGTGGCCCACTACATGCAAGGAACATAAGGATATTCAGTTAACACAAATGGGTTGTGCTCGTAACAGTGACCCCGGAACGAACAGGGATGAGGCATTGTGTGTTTTGAGTGTTTTACAAGGACATCAATGAAAGGAGGGTTGCTGGTTATGTGACCCTGCCATGTAAATGGCTCCCCGGTAGCTTTGGTGACAAGGAGTAAAAAAAATACATGTCGTTGCGATATATTAAATTCCACATAAACAAATATTTTATGCAATTCAACTTCTTTGATGGAAATTATTTAGAGAAAAAACCTCATGGTCCAACGGTAAAGTTAATAAATCTGACGGTGGGGCTGAGAAACACATCGACCGCTATTAAATGGGCCACAGTTGAGAAACTATCCTATGAATAAGGCACTGAGAGAAGGGATTCGGAGTGAAGGGACTCACTATAGTAAGTCAAACGGGAGCTCACATGAAAAAAATGACGTTGTGTGCTTCTGCTTTAAATGCAATGCAGAACTTTTCTCTCGCTCCCACCGTCACAATTCACTGAGTTTTGCAGTCGACGTTCCCATCTCCAGTTCCCTTCAGTTTCTTCAGCTCCTTCAGTAGCTCCTGCTCAAGGGTTAAGATCTCTTTGGGTTTCTTGTACTGGATAAGAGAGAAGAAAGAATAATTACTTCAACATTCTCCCCATCTGCCTCATGCATATCCTCCACTGCAGCCATATTGAAAGAACATACAAAATACAAAGCTAATAAAACAACAAAAAGAAGCAATTATTGTGGGCATAAAAAATATAAAACTACTCAGGTGGACAGAGAAAAAACTGGAGTGCAAATGTTTAAAAATCCACATCTTGTCCTCATGATTCATATAAAATACTTAAATAAACAAAGTGATGCTTTTATGGACATGACCATGGTTTATATAAAATTTAAGTACCTCATGCAAGTTAGGATTATAGCTTCCAGTAGATTTTATTTGGATTTGTAAATTAAAAATATTCCAGATTCTTTTAAATTACTCATATTGCTCAGATGATGATGTCCAGTACCCTACATTCATCAATTTAAGTCAGAAAACAGATCTAAGAATCAAACTGTAATGTTTTCACCTTTAAAATCGAAGCACATTGTTTTATAACTGGTTTAAGTTCATTTATTTTTCATTGTAGCGTCTCACTTACGCTGACAATCAGAGTGTTGTTGGCTTGAGTGAAGCTGAGGGCAGACTGGTCGAATGGCAGCTCACAGCGCTCCAGATCAGGAATACTAAACTTTTTATAATACCTGGGAAGACATAAGAAAAAAAGTCATAGGTTTGTCCTGAGACTGAAGACTAAAGTGTTGTGCACACTGCCATCTATAGGAAAACAGTGAGGATTACATGCTGCAAGTGTTATGCACAGGAATGACACGATGGCCAGGAAAACACAGTGTTCCTATGTGTAAATCACTTTTTGTTTGAGGTCTTTATGATGATGCATCTCTCAGATGGCTCCGCAAAAACACTGAAGACTTCTTTAGGATAGGGAAGGTTGCGGATTCTCCACCGAAAGCTGCTCTTTGTGTCTGCACGAGTGAACACAGGCTGCGGAGACAGAAAAATTGTTAGTGAAAGAGTTCTCTCTTAAAGGAGTCAGAGTTAAAATGAGAAGATGTGGTTCAGCTGTCATTCTAGGAAGAAAATGAGAGAAAATAGGGAGAAAATCTCACATTGGAGTAGTTCTCCTTGATCACAGCCTCCGAAGACGCAACAGGGCTTGCAAGTGGCTCCCCAACCTCTACCTGCCATTGGCCCTGAGCTCCAAGTGTGCTTTTATTACGCCACTTCCTTACTGAAACATAGCAAAGGTTGTGTAAGACATATATACGCATGTACTCCATGCACTGTTAGATATCTATACATAAATCTTACCAATGAGCTCATCTGTTTTCAAGTCATACTCTTCAGCCATTTCTTTTCCATCTGTGAAGAGGTAGTGGATCTTCCTTTTTCCTGGAGATGAATTCAGCAACATATTTACATTAAAAAAAAAAAACCCTAAACAATACCTGTAGCTCAAACAAGCTAAGCAATCTCAGTACTAACCCGATCCTGTCAATCTCAGGACAGTCATGGAAGTACATTAAATTCTGTAACACGTGGTATTTAAATGTGGGTCAAATTAAATAAGATGTAATAGCTGGATTATAAAAAAAAACAACATAATAATGGCAGAAACAGACATGGATGAACTAGGAAGAGTGTTTCAAAGATTAGCTTCAAGCGAGCAGAGATGTTGATGTTCATCAGTTAGCAGAATATAACAGTGTGTCCCACGGCACCTCTTATTATTGTCACAACGCTTTTCACACATTGTTCTGCAGATGAGACATCTTCAGCTGCTTGTTGCCATACAACACCAATGCTGTTAGCTAACATGAGCTAACAGAGAGGGACGAGCTCTTTAAGGATTCCGTTGATTTAGGGAAGTTTAGTTTGAAACCAGGAAGACGAGTCATTGTTATAGCTTGTTCTCACCATCGTGTATCAGAGCTGTTTTCCTCGAGGACTTTAAACTCTGAGTCCAGCTCTGCGCAGACATGTCTCCTCTGATGCCTCTGCTGCACGGGACCACTTCCGTAACCATAGCAACCCGCGTCAACACGTAACCCAAGTAAGAGCATTTATATGTAAAAACATCTGTACACATGAAAAATGAGTGACATGTTTCTGAAAATCTATATATTGTTGTTTGTAGACTTTCAAATAATTGACTTGTAATAGCTGGAAAATGTGAGCCGAGCGAAACCAAGTAGTGACCCGGAAGTGAACCATTTGATTCGATGTCCGTCTGTCGTCGGGACTGCTGCATGGTTCCATCTGAGCAGGGGTAAGACTGCAACTATCGCAGTTTAATGAGTTTAAGGCTTCAGATATAGAAACATATCCGGACTTGCTGTTGTGAATTAAAAGACATTATATATGTTGACTCAGAAGAACCACTGAAAAGAGTCTAAACCCTCTGTTGCTGGCTGTTTCTGTTAGCATAAGCTAAAGTTTGGCTAGCTAAGAGAAGACAGAGCCCATATTGATTTCTGAGAGATGAGCGTTAGTTCAGGAAGCAGGATCAGCTGTTCGCTCACACAGTGCTAGTCCATACTGCTCCTGAGTTTTTCTCTTCCTGGGAAAAGCTCTAACAATATGTTGTGCATGCTGCTACATTCAGAGGAGCAGACAGAAATCAGCTTCAAGTTGTGTCATGTGACGAATTACATCCACTCAAGTACTGTAGGACATCTTTGAAGTCTTTGTATTTTATTTGAGTATTCCCATGTTGTTCTATCATCCTCCCATTGCCCTACATTCTAATGACTGTTGTACTCGTATTACAATTAATATACATATTGTGTTACTAATTTGATCTATGTCACTAGTTATTATTACTACTATCTAATACTGTACTTTAAAAAAAAAAAAATCTTCTTATTAAATTTGCTGTATATGAGTGGAAGTACTACTAATAAGTAAAATTATAAAATTTAATGTTGGTATGATTCACATGTTTACTATTGATGTTTAATACATTTCATTGATATTACTTTCATTTTACTTTCCTGTTATAAATGAGTTATGCGGCTCAGGCAACTTTGCTTTGCTTCACTTGTAATTTGGCACACGTAATGTTCCAAATCAGATCGTATGGATTGCTAGATGTTCTGGGCTGCAACTGCATGATCACATAGGGGATATTCACTCTGAAATTGTGAACTTTAAATTACACTTTTGTGATTAAAAGGTTAATTAAGAGTTTAGAATGCTTTTACAGCTTAGTATTGCAACTGTATAACTTTAATTTCTGCAGAATTTCAAATATGAAAAGGAAACAAAGAGAAGACATTAATTGTTGTCCAGTCTTCCTGTGTGAACTTGCTTCACATTAGTATTTGAAGCATATTTGGTGGTACATACAAAGCTTATGTTTCAGATTTGTGGGTTGGTTTTATTTTTGTAACTTATTAATATGTAATAATTCTTCTTTGTGCCACAGGCCACTGGCGCCCCCCTTTAATACTCAAGATGGAGGCTCGTCATGGGATCATGAAGGCTTTCCCCAAAGTTAAAAGGGCCAAAGTACTACAGGGAAAGGATGCACCACCGCTGAAGAAGAAGGCGGATGAATGCAATGTTACAGGTTTTTGAGTGTGCATATGTGTTTTATAATTAACGGAAGAAATGGAATGTTGATCAAGAGAAAAAATAGATTCATATATATATAGGGACATAGATATCTACTGTTAACACCAAAGTAGAAGCCAGGCAATGCAACAGATGTGCTCTCAGTAACCTGCTCCTCTCCTCTGCCACAGGAGACACTTTTAATGGAGTCACAGTGTACATCCTGCCTGCTGGAATTGGAAGTGCCAGATGTCAGATTTTTCAAAGACAAATTCAGCAGAATGGAGGACAGACGGAGAGTTCACTGTGTCCCGCTGTCACTCATGTTGTTGTAGATGACAACATGGACAGTGACAGGGCTCTGCGCCTACTGAAAGTGGATTGTATGCCCTCTGGAGTCCAACTGGTGAAATGCACTTGGTTGAGCATGTGCATCAATGAGAAACAACTCTTGGATGTAGCCAACTACAGTCTTCTTTCATCCAAGAGGTAAATGAGGCATTTTTTCTTTTGTACTAGAATTCTTATGTTTATATATCTGTGCCCTTTGATTTTTCCAGTTTATGAGGTAGACTTAAACTTGTCAATACACTACACAGAGACAGGGGATATACAGTAGAACATTCATTGTGTCTTAAATCTTGCATCTTTTTATTCTTTATCAATTTAGGGATCCTGAAACTCAACTTGAAAATGTTAAAGAAGAGTTGCCGAGTGTCAACCCTTCAGCTATTGTTGAACCAATGTCTCATCAAACCAAGCAAGAGGAGACTATAAACATGGTAGGTTGCCAGTTCATAAGATGCTTTTCTGAAACTGGTCAAATCTTTCTTCATAGCAGATACAAGATTATTTCAACCTCTCCTGAATCCTCTCTCACAAACTCTCTTGCGGGAACACAGCCTAACAACTAACATTGTCATTGGATGCGTCTGTAAACTATGTAAACTCTGACTGGGTTAAAACAACATCATTTGTTTTCACCAACTGATTATTTGCATGTAGACCGGATCTCACTTCCCTGAAGTGAGATCCGGTCACAAGTGGTCACACATTCAGGATGGCTTGTAATGAAAGGTCTGGACAGAATAACTTAAAGGTGACCACTTATGATTGGATCTCTCAGGATGGATGTTATTGCCATGTCTGAACAGGGCCATATGGAGTTAACCAGACTTCCAGTCAGTAATCATTTGGTGCAAAAGTGAGCAAAAAAACAACAAGCCTCTGTGTGTTGGATTGTCAACTTAGTTTTATTTACATTCCTGCTATTAGACTGGACCAGAAACCAAAGATGAATTGCAAGCAGAAGAAGATGGCGTCTCTCACAGTGACATGGAAGCGCTCATCACTGGCCAGCACCCCAAAGAGGAGATGCCTGGCCCCAGCCTCGACCCCGGTCCGGACTCTGTGGCTCAGAAGGCAGCCTCAGGAAAGTGGGTCTGTGCCCAGTCCTCTCAATCCAAAAGTAATAACTTCAACAAGCACATCACAGACAAACTAGAAGTGCTGGCCAAGGCCTACACACACCAGGGGGACAAGTGGAGGGCGCTGGGCTACTCCAAGGCTGTCAACGCACTGAAGAGTTACCACAAGCCTATTACATCATATCAGGTACTGCAGTGCAGATGCTTTTATTATTATGTCGTTGGTGCTGTCAGTAATTTGTGTGGTTGTTAAATATACTAGAGAAAGTACTTTTCGGTGCATGACAGTGACGTACAATTTTTATTGCATGGTGTTGGAATAATCTTTATTAATATTCAATTTTTATATGAAAACTTTTTTTCCCACTTCTTTCAGGAGGCTTGTCAAATTCCCGGAATCGGAAAACGAATGGCGGACAAAATCGATGAGATTATGGAGAGTGGACATCTCCGGAAGATTGATCACATTGGGGAGGCTGTGCCAGTACTGGAGCTTTTCACTAACATTTGGGGTGCGGGAGCTAAAACTGCACAACTGTGGTACCAACAGGTAGGCTTTACAAGCACGTATGCACATTAAAGGCATGTTTATTTAATGTGAGGGCTTGAACATATGAAGGTAAGTAAATCTACAAAACTGTCATACAGACATCACTAAATGATGTGTCAGATAACTGAAATGCTGTGGAGATTAAAACTCTGGATCAAACCCTGCTGATAAATCTGCTGAATCCATACATGGCATACAAAAAGTATTCAGATCCCTTCACTTTTCATATTTTGTTTTGCTTCAGCCTTATGATAAAAATCTTTCCCTCAGCAGCTTACTGATGAAAAAGTTTAGAAATTCTATTAAATGTATTTATATTTGACAGTATTTACAGCCTCTAGTATTCTTGGGTATTACGCAACAAGCTTTGTTTGTTACTACCACCACTGTGCTTTAATGTTGGGATGGTATTGGGGTCAGGTGATGAGTGATGGCTGGTTTACTTCAGAATTGAAACCTAATAGTTCAATCTTGGTTTCATCAGACCAGAGAACCTTGTTTCTCACAGTCCCAGGGTCCTGTTGGTTCTTGTGTCTGAGGAGAAGATTCAGCCACTCTGTCGTAAAGCTGTAGTGATGTTTCTCCCATCTCCACACAGGATCTCTCAGCCAGAGTAACCATCAGGTTCTTTGTCACTGATCTGAGGCCCTTCTCCCTCACTTCGTCTTTTTTTTTGCAGAGCAGTCAGCTCGAGGAAGACACCTGATTTTTCCAAATATCTTCCCTTTAATAACAATAGAGCCAACCATGGTTCTTGGGAACCTTCAATGCAACAGAATTGTTTGTAGCTTCCCCCACATCTGTGCTTCGACACAGTCCTGTCTCTGAGCTCTGCAGGTTGCTGTTTCCACCTCATGGCTTTTGCTCTAATATGAATTATCAGCTATTAGACCCTATGTTGACAGCTGTGTCTGTGACATGTCCAATCAACTGAATTTACCATTGGTTGACTCCGATCTAGATGAAGAAGTGTTTCAAAGATGATAAGGAGAATTTCTTTTTCATTTTCAACTGTTCCTGCTCAGTACTTACCTCATTACAGCTCTTTAAAATCCAAATGTAGGACATTTTTATCCTAAAGGTTTTTTTCCTATCAGGTTTTCTTTCTTTCTCAAATATTGATATAAATACCAGCTTCAACAATCCATTTGAGTTAGGGTTAGGGTTAGGCTTTTTTTTGATTTGGAGCTTCTTCATCGGAGACTTTTGTTATTTTGTAAAACAATGTGTTACAAAAAGTGTGATTTTCAGTAGAGTTGTTCTAGTAGTTTTGTTAAATACACCTTACATTCCTACGGTGTAATATTTAAACTGGGCTACACATTTTCATTGTCATTTAATGAATGATACTTTGGCAAAAAGAAGACAGGAAGCAAATGTCTAATATATAATGCTGATTTTCTAAATGTATTATTTGATTTGTTGTTATCAGGGATTTCGCACTTTGGAGGACATCAGCACAAAAGCCCACCTGAGCAACACTCAGAAAATAGGACTCAAGCACTACGATGACTTTCTGGACCGTATGCCCCGAGAAGAAGCAGGAGCCATAGAGAAAGTGGTAATGCATCGTCATTTGTCGATTTGTGATGATGACTGAAATGTGTTTGATTTTTTTCTTCGTCATTTCAATGTGTTTAGCTGTGTACATAGAGATGTGATATCTCTGAAAAAGATTCCACCTTCAATCCACAGAAATTTGGAAGACTTAAAGTAGGAAAAAGTTTGAATCGGTTTTCCTTGACTGCTTGATGATGAGAAAACCAGACCATGTTCTCACAAAGTGAAGTGAGCTTCCCAAAGGGGAAAAGTAACTCTTAAACTTGCTGCATCTTAAGGTAGCCAGATACCTGCTCGCTCTACAGCACTGAGCACAATGCTAGTTGTTTTCAGATAGTATTACTGGATTTTCTTTTTCCTTCAGCGCTGCCAGATAGAAAGCGCACGCGAGGCAGATGACTAAAGCATGTGTCCCCCCTCAGCCTTGTCAAAATTATATGTGATGCTACCTCCCAGTATTTGGCTGGGAACAGGTAAAAACTTAGCTGTTTGCCAGCAGGAGGGACTCTATAAAAAACAGGGAACATACAAATTAAACACTGGTTGTATTTTATCAATCCCACGGTTCAAAAAGCTCCTTCAGTCTAGGATACATGATGGGTTTTATTTTGTGTCTTTTGTTGGTATGTGCAGGTGAGAGATGCCGCCCATGCTATAGACCCAGGACTGGTGGCGATGGCCTGTGGCTCCTACCGTCGGGGAAAAGCCACATGTGGAGATGTAGACGTACTCATTACTCACCCAGATGGCAGGTCACACAAGGGGATTTTCAGCAAAGTGTTACAGAGCCTCCATGACAGTGGTAAGCTCCATTCTTTTTTAGGTGGAAGGGATTTTTCTCATGTCTTCTTCTTAGGTTTGATTTCCTTCAGAGAAACTTTTTTTTTTATCTCAGGGTTTTTGACAGACGACCTGGTGAGCCACGAGGAGAATGGAGAGCAGAAGAAATACATGGGTGTGTGCCGTTTGCCAGGACATGGCCACCGCCATCGCAGGCTGGACATCATCGTCGTGCCCTACAGCGAGTTCGCCTGTGCTCTCATGTATTTCACCGGGTCGGCACACTTCAACCGCTCAATGAGAGCCATGGCAAAGACGAAAAACATGAGTTTATGTGAGCACTCGCTGAACGAAGCTGTGGTGCGTCAGGGAACTTTAAAGTTGTATGGCGGCACTCCGCTTCCTACACCGACAGAGAAGGATGTTTTCAATCTTTTAGGCATACCGTACAGGGAGCCCAATGAAAGGGACTGGTGATCATTTGTCAACCACAATGCCATGTTGAATTTTAAAGAAAAATAATCATGAATGAATGAGAAAAGTCAATCATGATCACATTAGAGACCTGTTTGCCTTGAAAATGTTATTACAATATTATTTTCTTTTATTATAAAAAGGTTAAAGCTCAAAAACCTATTTTCTGACTTCACTGCATCTGTCAGGTTGTTTCAGTTATATATGCCAAGGTTTTTGAGATGTCCAGGCCTGACACTACTGTGAGTCCAAAAAAATTATTGAAGGGAAATGTGTTGTAGATGTCATAGCCTTTCAAAGTAATTTAAAGTAATTTTAAAGTAAATTTTAGTATAGTGTGTGCATATGTAAGTTTTATTGGTGGGGGGTTGGTGTATAGGTCACCTGGCAGGTTGGAATCAAACCAGGCTGCCCCCCCCAAAAAAATACAAGAGTAACTCTAAACCTTAGATCTCATTTCATTTTTTTTTTTAAGGTCCCTTGCTTGGATTAATAAAAAAAGCTTGAATAGATAAATCCTGGATCCACCACTTTGTCCTGATCCACCCCAAAATGTGACGTTTTCTTTCTTGGTCCATTTCCCATTCTGTCAACAAGTTTTGTGGAAATCTATCTGGTAGTTTCGTTTTTTCCACATAATCCTTCTGAAAAACAAACCACCAAACAAACAGGAGTGAAAGCAAACTCTTTGGCTGAGATCACTATCAGCATGTACATCTAGAGCAAAGTGGAATACTATGTGGTTTTACAGGTTGAGTGAACTGGATCCTTAACAACATTTCAAAATAGGAAGTGGTGGTGTATTTTTATTCTGAGCGATGATATTAAAACAATGAAAGGGAACAGTAGATGTGCCCGTGGCTTCCTTTTTTGTACACCAGCTCATTTAGGACTCTCATCTTTACAAACTCTAGTCTGAATTAAAAAGACACCTTTCAGTTTGAATTCAAACTCTGATCACGAGGATGGGCATGGCAGCGTTTTCAACTTTAAAGAAGAGGAAACAAGCGCCATGCACTTAAAGACGCACCGACCCCTGATTGGTCAGCCTCTCCCCAATCGCGTCCCAGTCCGCAAAACCAGTGTAAATCCACGCAACAGCACGTTGCGCACATGGATCGGGTTGAGGTGACCACGCCACACCCTGCGCACAGACGGAGGCAGGGCGGCTGCGGCTTGTGTAACAGCTGTACGAGCCAGTGGCACCGACAGCAACCAGTTGCGCCAGCACCGTGCGCCCAGCTGAAATGTCCCGTACGCAGAGGAGGCGGCGCATGCAGCGGCCTCTCAGCGCGACGGGGACCGACAACTAGTGGGGGATTACTCGGACGCAGTTAATGTACGACAGCGGTTACATGTTCGTGTCGCCACCGCCGCTGTAGCCACTTCTCGGAGGAATGAGAGGCCCGTGCTGGGCTGTGAAAATGGGGCTTTTCCTGCACACTGTCGGCTCTCTCACCCCCACCGAGTCTGCGGTGGACAGGGTAAGGCTGAGCTCTTCAAAACAACGCTCCCTCGCAGAGCTGCTAGCCTAGCCGCTCTCCGCTTCACCAGGCTAAGTTAGCAAACTGTCCAGCTAGAAATGTAGTCGCTTATCCGGCAGCACACGCGGTCCTTGTGACAGCAGGCTGTCCGCGCTGTCGTGAAACACGAGCTTTAGCTCCCACCGTGCTGTCAGGAAAGCTGTTAGCACGCTTGCTACGCTGCTATAGCTAATGTAGCTAGCTGAAGTGCAGGAACAGGGAGTCAGGGCCCGGCTCTGTTGTGTTTACGGTGGAGCTCTGACATTTTACACAGCAAAGAGTTGCATAAACAATAGAAGCGGTTCTTCAGGTATGAAAGCAGACCCACAAGTAGACCACACCGTAGTTCTAGCGAGCTGAGCCATGTACTTCTATGTGCTAGCACAACAGGAAAGAGCTCCTCTTGTCTTACTTTAGTCAAGTTATTAGATGCTATTGTTGCTGTGTTGACAGTGATCGCCTCATAATCCCACAACAACAAGCAGCTCTAGCCTTTACACAAAGGACTGTGTGTTATTGTGAGAATTGTAACTGCTAGTTGACACATCGTTCCACCTACAACAAAACTTTTTACACTTTTCAGAAAAAGTTAAAAAAAAGCAAGAAACTGATGTTCAACTCCACAGATAATGACACTGTTTTAAATGTGACTTCAGTATCACTTATGATTATCCATATGTGTTCAGAATACAACTTCGGATCAACAAATCAGCATCATTTTCTTTTGTCAAAGCTGAACAAGGGATATATTGGAAAATATTTTTAATCACCTATATATTTTTCAATTCTCAATCAGATTTTTACAGAATTAAGGCCCAACAGTCCCCTTATGAAACCCCATTTAAATCAATCCAGGTTTTTATTTGGATCCACACCAAATTACACATTCATAAGTATCAGTCCCCTTAGTATGGCCTATTTTTTTATCATCCAGATTGTTGAATTATTCTTAGAAATCAACAACAATTTGAAAAATGTCCCTTCTCAAAATGTTAAAGAAGGTGGAAATATAAACCTGCATCCGCCACCTGGATCCAGACAAACATCAACATGTAATGGATTCCTCCTTGACCCCTATCTCATCTTTTTACCAAGTTTTCACCAAGTGGAAATCTGTACAGTTGTTTTTCTGTCCCACTGACCAACAAACAAAATAACCAACAAACAAACTGACAGGGGTGAAAACATAACACCCATGGTGGAAGTAGATATTGTTTGTTTTGTTTTGTATGATACGTCATTTGAGTGGGTGGATTAATGTCACTAGTCACCATCCGTCACTGTTTCTTATCAGTGTGTGAAATTCATGTCAGGAATTGGTCAGCAAAGAAAACAATCATATAATCTTTTATTGATGTGCTGTACTGGAAAAAAAGAAAATGTATTACCGACTTAAAATCATACTTCAATTGGTAACACACAAATTATTATTACATAATATTTTTTCAGATTAAAGTGAGCATTTTTATCAGTAAAACTTGTAGTTGACCAAACTTAATTCATTTGTCTGTTACCAATTAAAGTATTTTAAATAGGTCCAACAATTTTCTTTTTAAGTTTAGCAAACAGACAAAGTATCTATTAAAGGTACAGTGTGTAGAATCTAAACATGAAAAAGAACCTGTGGTAGCTTCAGTTGTCATAAAAACTCAAAGGTGTTTAGTTTGTCCAGTCTGGACTAATGTAAAAAACATGGCAGCCTCAGTAGAGAGGACCCCCCTCGATGTAAATATAAAGCATTTAAATATATAAACGGCCTTTTCTGGGCTTAGGAAACTACAATTCATACAATTTAGATGAAATGAACTAGTGAAAACATAATGAGGATTATCCTACATTAAATGTCTGCCAATAGATCCCTTTCACCTAAATCTTACACACTGGACCTTTAAGTAACTGCACTAGTGTGTTAAGAAAATGATGACTTTGTAACCACAAAGCTGTAAACTACAAAGTAAGACGAGTTTACAACTGCATGTGGAAGCACAGTAAATGTTGGTTTATGTTTATGTCCAGTCAGAGTGGCACGTGTTAAGAGATGCAGTAACAACAGTCAGCATGCTTGAAGACTCCTGGATGCATCTGAAAAAAGCACTTCTCTTTGAGCTTGACTAAGTAGAATCTATCAACAAATACAGTTGAAAAAGATTTAAACAATGCAAATTTCTATGTCCAAAGCATATCAACTGTTGCTTTGCAAGGTGTTGTGTTGTCATTATTATACATATAAGCTGTATGTTACTCTGTTTGTCCTGAGAAAGCACAAACAGCCCATGCCCATATCAGAGCCTGACCAGTTCCTCCATACAAGATAGACTTGTCTTTGTTTTATCAGCAGATAATGTGCTAAAATATCTGTGAAGGTTTATATAAGTGTTGAGGTTTAAAGTTCAACTACCATTAAAGCAAAACAAAAAAATTCAGTTATCACGTGCAGTATCATGTTCTGTTTGTTATCAGTGAACCCACGGATGTGCATAAACCATTTTCAAAACAACACTTTCATTGTAAGAAGAGCTCATATAGTACATTTATGACAGGGGACACAAGTAAGTCATTCAACTTAGGCCTGTATGTGTATCTATGTATAATATATGATATTTCCACGAATCCCCCTAAATCTCTACCAAACACAGAGTCAGCATTGATTACCAGTGATCACTTTTCACTATCAGATGTTATGAATAATATTATCCTAAACAGTTTACAGGATGAACACTGCGTCATACCGTTAAATATTTGAGAAAGGTCACATTCAGGCTAAGGGGTTGTATAGTTATGTTGATTGAGGTGATGAATAACTGCATTTTTACTTTTATGTACTTAGCAGCTGATATGAACTCTCACTATGATGCATTCAGGGACTGTTGTGTCAGAATGCTCAAGCAAGTCGTAAATGCAGCACAGACATATCACCAGCTTTTTAGATGATATGAGCAAACAACATTATCATTCATTTAGATGAAGGTTTCTCTTCATCTGATCGAATACATGATCAATATTTACACTCTTTAACTTATATATATTCTCCACCAAATCCTGAGGGAAATATGCAACTCTTAAAAGGATGGTTCCCTGAAAAATGAAAATTCACTCATTATCTACTCACCACTTCTGGACTTTCAAGGGTAAACAGCTTTGCAGCAGAAGCCAATACAATTGAAGTCAATGGTGACCTAGACTTCAGACGTTTATATCCTTACGCTCTAAAATGTTTTTAGCCTAAATGTCTGCTGATATCTTCCTACAAGGTGCATTCACGGACCCTTGGACACATCATCGTCTGGCTACGTCCGCTGGATTAGCCACTTCCGGTGGACTTTTAGGCTTAAAACATGGTGGAAATGACCTTATTTCTGGTTGAACGTAAATATCGGGGCCTGCGGACACTTGGATGACACCACACGAGCAGTGTGAGGCATGTCATGTTTTATTACGTCTGAAGTCTATTGTCACCATCGACTTCAATTGTATTGGATTCTGCTGCAACAAACTTCGCTGCTGAGACCCCAGAAGTGTTTTGTGAACTCAAACACCTCACCCAACCCTCCCTCAGCATAGTGGTGAATAGATTACGAGTGAATGTTCATTTTTCTGTGAACTATCCCTTTAAGCTGCTAAATTCTCCACTGTTCACTGGGGATTGTAGGATATACGCATAAAGTTCATGGATCCAGTGTTCTGCTTGACCCTCCCTGAAACCTCTGGTTTCAGCACACTGGTAAAGTTGGTGATGAGATCGTAGTTACAGCTGGAGTTTGTCTTCGTCTTGTATCTTAAAGTGAAGCTTTAGGCGCTGGCAAACAAACTGCATTTTCTAGCCATGAGATAACATTTATCAGCTCACACAACCTTGTTCAACTCTCCTTCTCAGCTGTTAAAGACTTTCTTTGTGGGAATGTGTAGTATTAGTGACTGTGACAAATATGTCCCACATAACCTTGATGTCTATGAAAGAGCACCTTTCTTTGTCACAGGACAGGATAATAAAGAAGGGGTCAGCGGGTTCTCTGTGTGCATCGGCTAACTCGCCAGCTCCTACGGACTGGTGATAAGTGGATCAGCTCTGGTGGTGTGGTCAAGACTAAGAACTGTAGACACTTATCTCCAGCAGCAGTATTCGATAGTCACCAAGGGATTATTGAACTGTTCTCACTGTCTGCACGTTTCAACAGCTTCTCATTATTGAGGCTGATTTTTTTTCTAATGCAACAATAATTTCTGGGACAGTTACCAAACCCACCTTTAATGTGGCAGTGCAGCACGAGAGAGGTGGATGGTTTGCTTAGTTTAAGTGCACATGCGCCAACTTTGTATGCTGCCTTTTGCGGTTGCTCCTGTTTGTTCTCGTAAACAATTTTCCATGCGGTGACAGTGAGAGGTGTTCTAATATAGTGGGAGACAGAGGAATCTGGTTTGTCCAGATTCTTATCTTGGTCACGGTCTGTCAGGAGAGGTAAACACAATCAGATAGAAATGGTTTCAGATGACCTATATTTTTTTCAGGTTCAGATGTTTGATTGATTGACTGTCACATATCCAGTAGTAGAGGTTGTTTTTATTTTTTCAGTCTCGTGTGGGTTAAAGATTAGATTAAGCATTTATTTTCTGTAGGAGAGCCTGTTTGTGAAATCCAGACCTCTTTCAACACTCTTACGCAGCACAGACTGAAGAACCAAACAAACTAGATGGTTATCGCTATCAAATTGCAAAAGGGGCCTTGACAACCCAGTGGAGAGCATATGGTGCAGAATAGTTAGCGAGCCAATGAAAACTGTTATCAGAAAAGCTATCAGAAACAAAGTGGAGGAACAGAACATTTCATGTTTATTACAAGAAAAATTAAATCCCTCTGTGTCGGTCTGGGGTTTTGAAAAAATGTCTTGTTGACACAGCTGATGAGAAATGATTCATCTGTCAGGAGTAGAGAGGTTGCAGCCACATTTCGTGTCAGCACTTTGGTTTGTGCTGATCCTGTGTGTTGCATGTTACTAATCATTCCTATGTTACTGCTCTGTGTTTGACTTTCTCACTGCTTTTCTCCACGTTTCCCTCACTGCCACACACTTTGCACAAAACCCGCTCACCACTGCGCACGCCTTATTATCACACGGCCCGGGCTCAGTTAGGAGCCCGCTCTCCACTGCTGGTTGGAAATTTCCGTAGAGCAATCCTCGTCGTCCACTGTTTTGGCCTGGGTGGGAGTGGGGTGAGGGAGTGTGTTTGTGTGTGGGTGTGGATGGGTGTAGGGTGGACGGACAGAGAGGGAGGGAGAGAGTGAGTATGTTTCAGAGCTGTTTGACTTTTTTCTTCTATGGTGCAATGAGCTGAGAGGTGGAGAGGACCTGGATCATCATGCCTCTCAATCTGGAACCTGCACTGGTAATCTATATAAATAATACAAATAAAATTCATAGAAAGATCGTGAAGAGAATCTAGAGAAAAAAAAGGATATTCCAGAAAGAATCCACAGACATTTCTCAGGAGAGGATTTTTGTAACACACTGTTGTCTCAATGCTGATGTGTAATGTTATCTTCTAGCCTGTGTGCTTCTTGTCATTATTATGTAGGAGTGGTAACGTTTGACCAGGCAGAGCTGCTGTAGTTTGGTCTTTGACAGTTAAAACATTCAGCGGGCTGTTGGGAGCAGAGACAAATGCCTTATTGAATTTGGATGAAAGTGGACTGTTGTGCCAAACGCCTTCTGACTGTGTGCCGGATCTTTGGGAACATGCTGAGTAGTTTCGTGCTGGCTGCCATTCAAACATTTGCACTTGATATGGGCCTTAAACATTGATGCAATTCTAGTAGCTTACAGGGACAAGTGGCCAGGACTTGTTTACTCCAGATTCATAGCTAAGTATAAATGTTGGCGACTAGATATCTGCAGTTATATTATTCTAAGTTGAAGACCAGGGGCAGCTTGTAAAAATAAAAATAAAAGATAAATACAGTTTCCTACTTCTACACTACATATTAACTGTACACATGATGTAATATATACTAATCTTCATAGGATACCATTTATTTTGAAGTTTTTGTGTAAGAAATCAACATACTTTACCTCGGTAAAGAGATTTACTCCTTTTTTTCCAGTTTTTCAAATTATTATCGATTTGTTTAGCTTGGAGTAATATTTCCATTTCCGTTATGCAACAGAAAGAAAAGAATGCATACTGACTTTATTTGAGAATACTGTGTGTTTGTCTTATCAGTTTGCACTTACTACGTACCATACTTAAACCTGTTTTTAAATTGTACATATGGAACTGAGACATGGGCCTGGGGCATGTTTCAGAGGACTGAACTTAAATGATGAACTAGCTCCATAACAAAGTAAAGGCTTCTTGCATAAAAGGCAATTGAAATGTCACAGTAGAATCAGTGCTTACTGTCGTCTTATATCTTAAGTATACCCAGATATCAGAACTGAAAACTTTGGATGGATGCATTCTTGCAAAAGTACTATTGGTTGCAAGGTGTTCTTAAACAAGGCGTACTCACGCTTCAGTCTTATGGGTTGTAAGAAACAACATGGATTCTAGCTATTCAGCTCTGTTTTTATACCATTGCATATTGTGACCAGATTTATTTTCTCTTAAATTGCAGGTAATATATTCCTTTTAAAGTGACAGTTTCTCTTTTCTTTCTTCTTCTTGTAGAGTCTGCTGCATTGTGAAGGTGTTAATAACCAGAGCTACATCTGTGAATCTGGACACTGCTGCGGAGAGTCTCAGTGCTGTAGCTACTACTATGAGCTCTGGTGTAAGTATCATATTATTATCTTTTTTCTTTATATCTTCACACTCAACATTCCTTGATAGGTTCTAATGCACATAATTGGACAGAGTGAGTCTTTTTGATGTTAAACTACTGTAATTTCATGTTAGTAATTCACAGTTGATTCAGGAGGAACAAACAGTGTAATTTTGATTTACTTTAATTTATTAAAATTAATAAAAGGAAGACCAGTGAATGCAACAGGCACTTAACCACAATGTTAAAGTTACAGTGTGTAGAACTTTGTGATATCTAGTGTTTAAATTGCATGTTGCAAGTGAACACCCATCACCTCACCTTCTCCTTCCAAACATGAAAAAGAAACTTTGGTAGCCTTTAATTGTCATAAAAACTCAAAAGGTGTTTAGTTTGTCCAGTCTGGACTAATGTAAAAAACATGGCGGCCTCCGTAGAGAGGGTCCCCTCGATGTAAATATAAAGTATTTAAATATAAAGGGTCTTTTCTGGAGCACAGAAAACTACAATTCATACAATTTAGATGACACAAACTAATGAAAATATCATGAGGATTAGCCAATAGTGCCAATATTTCCTTTCACCTAAATCTTACACACTGGACCTTTAAAGCCAGATTCTCATATTGTTCAACCTTTCCTATATGTGTGGCTATTTTGTTACTATGAGCTATGCTAACTTTACAATCACCACCTCTGTTGTAGTGATCTTAGGACAAAAGGTCTCGTGCAAAGCAGTGTATATCAGGGCAGTCAGCATGAGCCTCATATCATTTCAAATAAACATGATTTTTACATGAATCAATCTCTTGTTTCAAACTCTGACAACAAGTAACCAGATTGAAGCCGCCTGTGATGGCCACCACTATACTAATTTATCGGGATCTATATCAGGGTCAACTTACAGGTGGACCCAACCTTGGACCCTGCATACACCATGTGCCACACGCTTATCTGTGAGGCTAACTGAGGACATTGATTGGCACCCCTGAGGAAAAACCTAAATACAAATTTTACTTGGATCGATTGTTATAAAGGCAAGTCATCTCACTGTGGTGGTGAATGGTATGTATCAAAAACAGAGTAAATAGACATGGAGCTAAATCAAGCAGGCAGATAGGAAACAGGACCATTCTGAAGACACTATTTCTCAATAAACTGGTGGTATTCATGTGGCCACCGCTCTCCACAGCTGAATGAGATAGACAACCATTACTGTAGAGAGTCGGAAATGTTGACAGTCATTCTAACATCGTATCAACAAGAAATTATTTTGTATTGTTTTCAATATGTCACTTTCCAATAATGGGGTGAACAAAAGACAGGTGTCAGCTGGACGAATGCACAGGAGAAGCAATAACAACATGTAAAAGACTTGTTATGAAGAATGGTTACATCAGCCAGTAAGTTGACCCAGATGTAGATCCCTCCCTATATAGCAAAACAGCTGTTCACAGCAGCTTCGTTCTGTTTTTATTATGTTTACTCAGACATGGGTGTTAGAAATAATTGTAAAGATCTTTTTAAACGCCGTGAGGGGCTCACACTGATTTTTTTGAACAAAGCATTATCAACCTAAATGTATTCATAATGTATTCTAATTAAGACAATTGTAAAACGGATGTTTCATTATACTGACCTCTCCTGCATATTACCCAACAATGGTTTTAGGTGTTATTTACAGTAAAAAATCAACAGCATACAGAGAAAAAAGTCTTAATACAGGATTAGTACCAGAGCTGAATTATAAATCAGGTAGTTGGATCATCCTGCCAAATATTTCAGCTACATTGTCTCTGTGTTTATGTTGTTCAACAAAGAACAAGATGTGGCAGTTCCCAAAAGCCATGTCATGAGTATGTAATGTGTAATAGTATCATACGATAATCATCAGGTCCCAAACATTGATACTGGTATTGGCCTCAAAAAAACAGTGGCTATATTTGTCTCTACATTTATGATACAGTTAGTATTATGCACAAACTCTTTACCCCACAGATTAAGGTTGGCCAAAAATCATATCAAGAACAAAATATTCAGATCAGTCGATAACCATAATTATGATGGTAATTTTCATACTGTTTAATTTTTGCTTCTGAGTAAAGGCTGTGTTTTTTAAGTCATCTTAATGAGCAGATAATGACAAACACTTGATCAACTGCAAAACATTTTTATAAACCTGACGTTTATTAATTATGTGTTATACCTCCTACCTCTTCCTAAACAACACATAAGCATTTTATCGATATAGGCATATTTTTGAATTTTGTCATAATGCTATTGATTAAAATTACATTGCGGTAATTATTTAATTGTTTTCATTTCCCAGCCCTACAATAGATCCTAGATTTTTGATCCTAGATTTTCTAGATTCAATAACGTTTGTTGAACCTTGTGGAATTGGTTGATTATGATGTTCAGTACTGAGCTCAACTTTTTGTAGATTACATTCTTATTTCTCAGAGACACAGTCTGCCTTGCAGCATTGACCTTGAAGTGACGTTCTCCACATATTTCTTTGTTGATGTAATGACGTGTGTATTTCAGAAACACAGTAAACACAAACTCACTGCGCTCAGTTTTGGTTCCCTGCTGCTGTTTAGACTTGACTAGACAGTACAGGTTCACAAAAACTTCATGCCACAATAAAAAAAACACACAATGATCTCAAACAATCACATTGTGCTGGAATATTTTTCAATGTATTTTTCTATAGATAGATCCCACTAAATCATACACACTGGACCTTTAATATGGAATAACCATAAAGGATGTCTTCAAATCCATAGTGCAGTACATACAATATAAAGGCTTGTGAATGTTTCACAGTGTCAGAACCAGATGTTGGCAGGATTTGATTTGCAGTGTTACGTTTGTGCTAACATCTGGGACTTTATGTTACATCACCACAAGCTAAAGTGAAACATGCATATTATCAAGCACAGTTTTAACTGTGAGTTAAAAATATCAATAGATACCACCATCAAAAAATGACGACATGTCTGTGTTTGTTCTTCTCAATGTAGGGTTTTGGTTGGTGTGGGCGATCATCTTCATTTTGAGCTGCTGCTGCGTGTGCCACCATCGCCGCACCAAACACCGGCTGCAGCAGCAACAACGGCAGCACGAGATCAACCTCATCGCTTACCGTGAAGCACACAACTACCCCTCTGTGCCCTTCTACTTCAGTAAGAGCTCCCACCGACATATGATAAAGCTTGAATTCATTGTATTTTTTTGCCACTTATACATATATACTGTATGAAGTCTCTGTATGATTGCTGTGGGAAACTGCTCAGATTTGAGTATTCAAAGCTGCAGTATTCAATATTTTCGCAAATTATAATGACAGAGCCTCCTCTCAGCTTGAAGAGTGTTTTATTGTCTTTCAGCCCATTGTTTTTGTTTTAACTGCCTGCAACTCTAATATTCTGGTTCAAACCCTTGTTTTGACTTTTTTTCTGTATATTTTACTTATGACATGGCAGCAAAGATTTTGACGTGGCAGGTTACAAGGTTACCAGCAAAAACAATACGTTCAGTCCAACAGATCTCATCTGCTTTATTTCCAGCCATGTGAAGCAAAACGTTAAGAAAAACCCTCTGTTTGTGATCCAAATACATGAAATGAAAAGAAAATATGTGTGGTAATCAAAAAAAGAAATCCTTTGGTGAGAATAAGTTTAACTATATATTGATGAATACAGTACAATCACCACAATATTTATCTGTGGTCTATATGACTGCATTTAGGGCAATAATACCCTGGATTAGTAAATACAGAAAAAACATTAAGCCTCCCAGTTATTTTTGGAATATAATCGTTTTTTGTTTTTTTAAATTACACATTTCTATGACCTGTGAGGTCGTACAACACCTCTGGGGCCAACATTTCAGCTAGGCTGAGTCTGCTGATTGCTTTACTGTAAACAAACGAATCACCACAGTGAACACACTATTCTGATAAAGTTTCATTTCAGTCCAGTACATGTTTGCTGATAATGTGTATATAAAATAATTGGACCTCTGTTTCATTGTTTTTGTGTAAACTTTCGTCAATATTTTTTCAGTTACATCGAACTGAGGAATTTGACACTAGTGACGAGCGAAATCAGTGGCTCCTGACTCAAATGTAATGTTTGCACTGAGATCCATCCCTGGTTTCACACAGCGTCGGAACCTTCCCTGTTTGCATGCCCCAGTTTTCAGGAAGCGGAAAGCATTGCTCTCTTGGTACCTTGCCAGTGTTGCAACACCATCTCGCTTGGAGCTGAAACGGCCCTCAGCACCGAATTGACCCAGAAATTAACTTGTTTTGTCACATTTTCCCACTATTGCTTTGAAATTACTTACAAAGTGGTATAGAAACTTCAGGGAGCTCACACTGAAATTTTTACAGGTCAGACAGTGGTGTTTTTTTCTAAAAAGACTAAATCATATGATTGTTGTTTGAAAATTTTTATCAGTGCATATGCAAATTAATGTTTTTCCTACTTCTCCTCAGGGTTTCTGCCAAACTACCTCCTGCCTGACTATGAGGAGGTGGTCAATAGACCACCGACTCCTCCCCCTCCCTACAGTGCCTTACACACAGGCCCATCGTCAGTGGCTTCTAGTCCCTTGGCCTCTGAGCAGCAGGAGAGACACTGTCCAGCCATCCAGCCTACTCCAGTGCCCCAGGTCTCTGAAAGTCTGTGTTGCAGACCCAGCACAGAGGAAGCACAACCTCCCACTTCAGACTTAAGGCCGAAGCCTGACAGCAAGCCAATGCAGACACAAGATTCAGGCGTGATACTCCTCTCCGATGGGCTCAGTAGGGAGGCACTCACCAGCCAGGAGAAAAGAAGCGGGGATGGGGACGAGTCCTGCAAGGACGCCCTGCCGAAGGACCTGTCAGAAGGTTGTGCTGAGGACAAAGATCGGCTCCCCAATGGAAGGAGGAGGCGATTCACAGGGGACTCTGGGATTGAGGTGTGTGTGTGCAGCACACGTGGGAGCGGCAGTTGCAGTGGAGTAGGAGGGACGGGCCAGGAAGGCAAAGAGTTGAGGGAGCTGGAGAGCCTTCTTGGGCGCGAGGGACATGGCGACAACGACGAGGAGGGGGAGGAGGAGGCCGGGGACTTCTGTGACAGCTGCGGTCATCGGGCCTCCTTCAGCGCGGAGGAGGAGCAGGTGCTGGGCGGGCTGGAGAGGCAGGCCGCTCGTGGACCTTCAGGATCTCCTCAGGCGGCTCAGCAGATAGGCAGCGGCTCGCTCCACCCTCCTGTGTGCCTCCTCCTTCACACCATCAACGAGCAGGAGGGGCCGCACCACAGCACCAGCACTGAGCTGCAGGGCTGAAACACAGCGGACACAGTGTTGTCATAGAGGGAAGGAGAGCACTTAGGACAGGATATGGAGGCATGTGCTTTTGTATTTAAGTGTATTATGCCTCAATGCTTTCTAAGTGAGTATTTTTATGAATGTGTGCATCTTAGATAAAACAGGTGTGGAGGAAGCGGAATCTCAACGGAAGCGAGTGAGATCCAAAGGTTGAGAAAGCCTGCTCCTCCCCACACTGGAACAGTGGCCTTAACCTGTGTATGTTGGGTTAGTTGGGCCATAAAGCCCTCTAACAGCCTGTGGCAATTGAGACTGCTCACAAACACACACAGTCTGTCAGATGTCCGTCTCATACAATGGAATCAACTGACAGTAAAAGACTTGATAGCCGAAGCTGTGATGTCAGAACAGGACGTTCACTGCCTAGGATGAACTCAGCTCCTCCTCAATGGGTGCTTGTAACAACTCTGCAAAGCCGCTCTTTACGTAATGACAAAAAATAAAAAAACACACCAAACCGGAACTTTTTGAATGAGTGCAATGTGGAAGTACCACAGTGTGTGTTTTTATGCAATCTGATACTGTACAGGGACACCTGAACAAGACTGTGTGGGACGTCCTGTTTGACTCATGCTTCTCAAGTGCTTTTTCAGCGATTTAAAAACCGCTTTGCCTTGTGCCCATTTTTGTTGTTCCTTATCTGCCCTGCTAGTAAAAGAGTGTAAGTGCATTAACAGATCTTTATGTGAGAGGTTCCTATTTTGCACAAAATGTATTTAGCATTTAGCAAAAAAAAAGTCAAACAAATTTTTTTTCATAAACTAAAAGTCTTAAAGGACCGATATGAAAGTTTTGCTTTTGCTACATCTCCAACATTACCATTAACAGCTGTTTACTTACTAGCAGGCTTGAAGAAATATTTTAGGTTCAGCATCAAACTTCATTCCTCCCAAAGAGAGAAGTGGAAAGCAGAGCCAATGTTAACTCTTGTTTTGCCTCTATTTCTGTCACCTCATGGCTTTCTGTTAGCGAGTCACTGTAGTGTCCAGTCTGCCCTGAAAAAGTAGTGCTGCTCAGAGGGCGTAGTACTGCCTTTCTTTTTCTTGTAAATGCAACAATTGCTAAAGCTCTTGGCTAGCGACCATCACCACCAAACCAGGGCAGAAAAAACTAACATAGCACCTTTAAATTTTTGTTAATTTCTTAGGGTTTTGTTGCCACATCTGTAAGAAATTGACTTTTGTGAATTGTTTGTATACAATCATTTTTCAACTTGATTTAATGAATGTTTGTAGTATGTGCCTACCCCAAAACATGTAGAATGTTGATGAATGATTAGCTTCACTGAAAGTGAGATTGTCATAAATCAGGTACTAAAACCAAGAAAAGAATGTTAAGCTTCAGAGATTACAACTGAGATGGGCAACATCAGACCTCAAACTTTTGTGTCAGTCACTTCAATAGATTACCACCTTCACCAGCTACACAGTATAAAAACAAAGATTTACACTCTTAATGTTTCATATCAGCACAATCTCTACCATTCTCCACTCGTAGTATCCATTGATTAAACATAAGTAATAGTTTCCAGCTAACTGATTTTACCCACGAGTGATTGATTCTGTCTTTTTTTTTTATATAGGACAGGAAACCATTCATTTAAATTGCACACAAAATGTGTAATATTAAGCATTGAACCACACATGGTAAAACACATTTTCTTTCAACAGCTGCAGTCACGGGTGTGGTGAAAGAAAATCATCTGTGAGAGAGAGAACAGATAAAACAATGTATGTTTAGATAAAATAAATAATAAGATAATAACAAGCAATGTGTGTAACCCTTCATCATGGATATGAAGCAAATATCATTTAGAAAAAGCATAGAAATAATCAAAATTGATTATAATGAAAGTGATTTTTTCTGGAAAACCAGTCAGTTGTTCAAGCTTGAATGTTTTAAATCAAACCTCCTAATCCAAACATCACAAGATAATCATTTTTCATCAATACTCAAAATATTGTTTGATGACAAATGTGCACATGAAGAATGAATTGCCCACAGAGGAGAAAGTGGACGTGATGTGTGAATCTTTCACAAAGCAACTTGTGTTTTTGTTTGCCCACTCTCTGAAATGTACTGGATCTGGTGATTCTAAATGCTTTTGTGCTGTAGAAATGTAGTTTTCAATATTGTGATGTCTGCAAAGCACAAACGTGTAAGCCCCCGGCCTCTCAGATTTATATTAAATATACCATGAATCAATCAAACACAAGATGTCTCCCAAAACCTCTAGCACAAGATAAAAAACTGCAACCTTTTGTGATAATTGTGAGATGACTGAATTTTACTCATTGAAGCCTGAACACACTAAAGTGCTTTTTACGCTTTTTGTGACCTAGAAAAATGCAATTGTGGCACATGTAGTAAAAAAATGACTTATTTTTCATATCGGCTGAATCCTTTAAAAAATATTCTAACTGTATAAAATGTCAAAACCACTTTTTGCAAATTGAGGACAATATTCTCTAACATGTTTGTGAACCAAAATAGTTGCTTTCATCATTTTTATGAAATCAGTAGTTTTATTGTTATGGACAGATTTTCTTTTGTCATTTTAGGTATTATTGTTATTATTATTATTATTATTCTTCTGTTGAGAAAAGATGTGTGAAGGGTACATGTGACTAACAATACACTAGAGTCTTTGATAACAAGTTCAGGGGCATCTCGCCAAAGACACTTTTTCTTTCTTTACCAGTGTGTAAGGTGGTTTTGCACATATTATTTGAATGTTCTGATCATAAGCCATTAATTACAAGTACCAAGATGGATGTATGTTTAATAAACATACTCTTATAAATTCAAGCTGGCAGTTGTGTCTTTGTGACTCTTTCATCAGGTATTTCAAAGATTACAGAGGTAGGTTATGGCTTGTCTGGTCAGGTCCAAGTCAATTTATATAAAAAGCATGTTTAAAAATAACAGCTAAAACGGGAGATACAGAAAAAGATAAAACAAGCAGCCAATAAGACAACTTTAAGAAATTGAAGAAAGGAATTAAGAACATAAGTGTAAAATAAGATATAACCACACATAAAAGCCAGAGAGTTGGCAAATAAAATAAAAAAACAATTTACAAATCTGGTTCATATCAATTATCTGTAGATCACTTACTGTGCTTACACAACTTTTTGTATTTGATAAAAAATGATATTGCAATAATTATGATAATGTTCTCTTCCCTAGTATATTTCAACTTATCTTTGTCTTGTCTTAATGACCACTCAAAGCACTTGTTAGCCCTTCACCTTCTTTTTTTTTTGGTCCATTCATTTGCAGGATTGAACCTTCAGGCAAGTGGACGACCCGCCCTACCAAAGCCTGAAAATGTTTTTAATAAATGTCTGATGCTATTTCTCGAGTAAAGAAAGACTATGTTAATTCTTTGACCAGGGGACACACATGGAGATCTTCCATCTTGTAGGGTCGCTCGGCTGAGAGGAAACTGAGAAGCTCTGCTGCATCAACTGTGATTCCAGGCTGTGGCGGACAGGGTGCGCTGCTGAGCAGGAAGTGAACTTGAAACATGGGTTCATAGGTTCACACAGACACTAGAACAGCGCTGCTGCTGTGGACTTTACTCTCGACACCATGGCTGAAGACAAGAGGTAAGAAAGAACCACCTGAAAACTTCTCTTAGGGTTTTGTCCTTCTCGCATATTATCTTGAAGCTGTGTCAGATTTAAATCTTCTAACACCTCGTTAGCGTCAGACGCGAGTTACACATGTTTACATGTGATATTACATCTGTGAAGTGGTGTTAGCAGGTTAGCAGATAGTTGAGACAACTCTGTATTGTACATGTAGCATTTCAAGTACATTATATATATATATATATATATTATATATACTTTCAGTACTTGTGGAGAAGGCTTCGCTGACAGCACCGTTCACAAGGACGTGAAGGTAACACATCACATTAAAATACATGTCAGTGGTCGATATAACCTAGCTTAAATGCTGCAATTAGCTTTAATTAGCATGCTTAAACACATCAGATGTTCATTAAAATGATAATGTTGTTGCTCAGTGGTGCTTGTGCCTCAGTAATGTCTAATTAAAGCTCTGCAGTGGCCTGTGATTGTTCACTTCTGACCGGCCTACCTGCATGTGGTGTGTGATGTGTGTGTGGTGTGTGTGTGATGTGGGGAAACGTGTTGACTTGGGCAGGATTATTATGGCAACAAGCTGAAGAAAACCTCTGACCTGAAGACCAACGCCTGTGTGGCTCCAGCCCAGCCCATCCCTGCCTTCGTCCGCCAGGCGCTGAAGAGAGTGCACCCTGAAGTCACTGCCAGGTTTGTTGTTGTGGTTGTTGTTGTTGGTGTTAATGGTGTTAATGCTCTCTCCACTCTTGTATTCTCACTGCAACAAACTCACTCCTCCGTCTCCTCTTCAGGTACTATGGCTGTGGCCTGGTGGTGCCGGAGTGTCTGGAGGGCTGCAGCATCCTGGACCTGGGCAGTGGAAGCGGGAGGGACTGCTACATGCTGAGTCAGCTGGTGGGGGAGAAGGGCCATGTCACTGGCATTGACATGACTGAGGACCAGGTACTGTGTGTCAGCATCACAGGATGGCTCACTGATCTGCAGTAGCCTCTTGATGCATTGCACACCCCTGCATAGTTAAATGATGTATGGATTTTATTGAAGGCTAATGGCTTATATTCTTTTACAATTTGGATTTTAGAAGACATAATTCTGCTCATAAGTATGAACGTATTGCTTTAGAGTCATTATGTGATCAGATAGCTTTATCATATTACTGTACACGTAGCTAATAGCATCAAATGCAACCAGACATGGACTCCACACTAGAGCCTGACTGACTTTGTCTATTTTTCTATTTCTATACGTTGAGAGCAATGGAAGAAACGGAGTCAATGCCTTGTATGTGTACGTATACATGGCCAATAAAGCTGATTCTGATTCTGATAGGGGTTTTTATGGGCTGATAACGATACCAATATAGGCCAATGAAAAAATTCCTTAAGCTTTATTACAGGCAGCTGTGGATAAGGAGTTGGATGACCAGAATGCCACTGGTTCGAGCCCTGGCTCCTCCCTTCACGCCTGCCAAATTGTCCTTAGGCAAAACCCTGATCTGAAAATTGAAAGATGTTCCGGCAGTGTGTGTTTGATGTATAATAAATACATATAGATGCACTGTTTGAATGTGTGTCTAATATGTGTGTAAAGTGCTTTGAGTGATCTTTAACACAAGAAAATCGCTGTATAAAATAAAGACTAGTTACCATGAATGAAAATAAAACCAAAAGAACAAATATGAGCAAATATATAGGAAAGGAAATAATTAAATAAAGAAATAGATTATTTTTTTTTCACATAAATGTAAATACGAATGCACATCTTCCCTGCGTTGCTTATTTTGTGGAATAAAATGTTAATTTCAGCAAACATAAACTCCAATACAGATATATCTGTGAAAAGCTCATTTCGGCCGATACATTGGCCTGGCTCAGTGTCCCATACAGCGACACCTCACAGTCTGTGTTCTCTTCCAGCTCAACGTGGCCCGGACGTATGTGGACTACCACATGCAAGAGTTTGGCTACAAGAAGCCCAACGTCAGTTTTGTCCAGGGCTACCTCGAGGCCCTAACAGAGGCGGGTCTAGAGAAAAACTCGTTTGATATCATCATGTAAGATACCATGTTTCTCTTTGTTTCACTTTTTGCGATGCCGTGCGATACTGTAGAAATTGTGTTGAGATGTTGGTTTTCTGTCATCAGTTCCAACTGCGTGGTGAATCTCTCTCCAGATAAGAGGCAAGTCCTGGCTGAAGCCTACAGGGTTCTTAAGGTACGCTATTATAGACCTAGCTCACAAACATGACAACAATGCCATAACAAACAGCAAAACAATCTTCAATCATGAGCCATTGAATCTGTTTACACTGATACTACCTGAATACACTGTTCCTCTGTTGGCCATTAGGAGGGTGGTGAGCTGTACTTCAGTGACATTTACAGCAGTGACAGACTGACGGAGGAAATAAAGAATCACAAAGTGCTTTGGGGTATGTAATATTCTGCCGCCACACAGATCACAGACACCTGCCAGAGTATCAGAGTGTGGTTTGTCTTGGCAGGTGAGTGCCTTGGCGGAGCGCTCTGGTGGAAGGACCTGCTTAGATTGGCTAAAGAAGTTGGCTTCAGCACGCCGCGGGTGGTTACAGCCAATGTCATCACCGTCGACAACAAAGATCTACAAGACGTTCTGGGTTTGATACCTTTTTTTTGTGTTTACTTCTTTTTGTGTTTTGCCTTATTTGCCTGATTTGGGTGGATTGCACTAATGACAATTTATTTTCAAACTGGTTTTGCAGTTACGATATTACAACAAATTTTAAGATTATTTTGAACATAGCTGAAAACCTTTTTGAAGTGTGTGTTACTGAATGTTTCCACTTATTCTTAGTATTTAGTCTTCTGCTTAGGCTGAAGAGGGTGCAGAATGAAGTGAGGACACCAGACTTCTTGAGCCAATAATGTACCAGACAATCAAAGCTAATAGTTTGCAAGAGTTCTAATCAGCCTTGGTAAAGTAGAAACTGCTGTGTGATTGTACCATGGGTATGTATTGCCCTCAAGATAAGGTGACAGGTCAAGTTGGGTTATTACTCTGAGTTACAACACAGCTACCATTTCCTTCCCCCCAGTGGATTCCTTAAATCACAAAGGAAGCAATGCATTCATTTTTTTTCTTGACAGAAATATTCTCTTTTCACCAAATATCTACTTCTCAGAGAAGATTCCTGCTCATGGTATAAAATATACATCTTGCGGATATGTTGCCTGTGGACTGACCTGGCTGTTAGTGTACAAGAAATTATTTTACAGAACTTTTTTGTATTTAAGATGGAAATGATCCAAGATGTCAATTAAACTGCCAATTTCTAATAATGAAAACTTAGTAAATTGTTTGTGTTTATGGGATTTTATGTGAGTTCAAGTTTGCATTTTCAGTTTTTCATACAGTGTTTTCTATAATAACACAGTTGACTGTAACTTTGTTTTTTGATAGATGGATGTTTACATAATTTGATAATTGCACATAATTGAATGAATGAATTAGACTTTTGAGGTTATTTGTAATTTCTCCAGCACAGTTCTGTTTCATGTTTCATTCAGGTTTACATATAAAGCAGCCTCTACTTAACTGACTAAATCCTAACTGTGTTCTTGAATCAAAGCTTAAAGGTTAATTGTTGTATAATTGTAGCACACAGGACATTATAGATCGTTGCATCTCATTTAATTCTCTCTTAACTCTTCTTATAATACAGGTAACTTCAAGTTTGTCTCTGTCACATACCGACTGTTTAAGGTCCCTAAAGGCAACACTAAGCCCTGTCAGGTCATATATAACGGCGGCATTACTGGAGTAGAGGACAGCTTCCAGTTTGACAGTCAGTACACATTCAAGGTGAGTAGATCCAGCAGTGTACCTGCAGTATGTCTATCGCACATGCACTTTATATTAAATGGTACCAAATGTGGACGTCACAGGTTGATAAAGTAGTGGATGTGGACGAAGAGGTGGCCAGTATCCTGAGACATTCCAGATTTGCGGGGGAATTCACTATCCAGCCGTCTGGAGGCCCTGGTGGCTCATGTGGAGTCAAACCTACGGTCAGCGTCACAACTACATTCTTAAACAATTTGAAAATGTCTGATCGGTCTATGAGCACTAGATGTCAGTATGTTTGTAGTATCAGTTTGAAATGTGCGACACACCCAGAGAGGCCAGAGTGAACACAGTCACACACACACACATACGCA